TTGCTTTTTGCTTCTGCTTTTAGCCTGGGCTGGGCTGGGCTGGGCTCTCCTTGCACGTTTAAGGAGTATTCGAAGCTATTGAAAATGCAGGTCAGTTCGAAACGAAATTCACACGAATGTCTAGTTATTCTGTTCTTGAGGGTTTAAGGTTTTGGGTTTAGGGATTCGTTTTGGGGTTTAGGGTTTTGGGTTTAGGCATTCCATTTGGGGTTTAGGGTTTAGGAATTCGGTTTAGGGTTTAGGGTTTTGGGTTTCAGGATTCAATTTAGGGTTTTGGGCTTTGGGTTTAGGGATTCGGTTTAGGGTTTTGGGTTTGTTCAGTGTTTTGGGTTTAGGGATTCGGTTTAGGGTTTTGGGTTTTCTCACCGTTTTGGGTTTGGGGATTCGGTTTGGGGTTTAGGTTCAGGGATTCGGTTTAGGAGTTTGGGCTGAGAAATCCATGGCTTGGATTGAAGTGTACGGCACAGAGTGTATGAGTACAGACTTAGGGTCTACGCTCTAAAGTTTACACGTTCGGGGCATCTTTAACTTCGGGCTCTCGGATCGCATATGCAAGGCAAAAGCTAAGCGGGTACAAATCTCGGAACTGAAAGCCTGCACCTTAAACTCTGAAGCCTGGAACCATTAACGCGGAAACTTTTGTAGAATCGGTAGCCAGCCGAAGCAGCACTTTCAGAGGCACAGTGTACATTGGGAACAGCATCGGAGCATCCTGGGACAGTCAGTAGCGGTTCAGGGTTCAAAGCTGAGGCTTTGGGTGTTGGCTTGACGGTAAGGGGAGTAGTGTGCGAAGTTTGGGTGGCACAGATCACCGAACTGCGCACCCGAGGATGTTGACGAGACAGATATGTGCAGCTTGAATTGAGACCAGGACGGGCACTGCCCGCTTGATTCAACCCCGGAACCAACAGGCCTCATCGACTTCTCAATCGCAAACCTTCTCCAATCCTTCATGAAAACCTAGAGACATCAAGTACTGACTTTCCAATATTCACACTAGCAGGCTACACAAACTACCGAAGCGACTCAGAGTGTGAATGATGAAAGAAAAGCAGTGGATTGCGATTTGCTGCATAGACTGCCTCCACGAACCATGTATCCGGCAACACACTGAACTTGGCTGGCCTCTGTGGCGTCGAGGCCCGACAACGTGGAGGCATACCTCAATGCGGAATCAATATACGACTGTAGACCTCTAAAAGATTCAACAGTACCACAAACAGCGTCGTTTTGGGTATGCCGAGATTTCACCAGCAACTTCAAACTGTTCAACGACTCGTATGAGCATCCGAAGCGATTCCACGGAAAGTCAGCCTTCCGATTTGCGGCGGACGTTCAAGCTACATTTAAACGAAACCGCATGCACATACAACAGATCTGGCGGTGACAATAAATGCAGACACCTCACACATAACATCTGGCACACGCACATCGAAAATTGAGGCAGAGCCAACTTGACCGCCCAAGCCTTTACTACTCGATGACGAACAACTGCAAAAGCTCCATCCAAAGACAACACAACATGCAAACTCCATCAAAGACAGATGCCGCTCCAACGGACTCCGGGATTTGCCCGGCAGACACCACGCCATGAGGCAGCTACATACAGTTAAGACAAGTGCCGAACACAACAACACGAACATATTCTCATGCTGACCGTCATGCATGACATGAGAAAACTCACCGCAGAGCAATTTTACCATGTTTCCCAATGTTGCTGGAAGCCCATAAGCGACGTCAAATCATCAATTCTTCATGTTCATGACAACTCGGCTGCAAAAATGCTGACCAAACCACCAGCAACGAATCGTTGATTATCTGTTGCTAAAAAAACAAACAACCAGTGGCTTAAAGAAAATGTTCAACAAAACTTCAATCCTTTTTCAACAAGAGCAAACGCTTTTGGAACATGGGATTAGAACATGCAACAGTTTTGATTTTTGGCGTGAGCGGGCCTCGTCGACTACGGCTGTAGCACTCGGTCCCTACAAACGAAACAAACCAACAAACAAGAACCAAAAACAGCGGTGAAACAGGGCGGCTCGATAAGAAAGCAAAAAGCTAGCTGCGGCGCACAGGCTTTGCCGGTGTTGGCCGTTCAGCATGAGCTACGGGGCCTCAGCGACCGATCCACAACAGCAAAGGCCGTCGCCCAGAGCTGTCCAAGACCACCGGTGGAGCCCAAAGTCGGAGCTCCGGCCGCCGTTCTAGTTCCGTCGAACAACGGTCAGCCCCGGGGTCCTGTTGTTTCTCGATCGTGCACACAAAGTCCACAAGTCCATAGAGGAATCCACGACGGCGGAAAGAGTCATCTATGGACCCTACGACGTATGTCGATGGTCATAGGCGACTCTGGCTGTTGGGATGCTTCCCACGTCGTCACCGGGCACTTTCCAATGTCGCAGGCGGTGGCCAGGCATCTAGCCGGCGCTGCATGTCAGTGCCGCTGGGCGGAAAGTGGGATTCACGCAATAGGTACAGCAGCTGGTAATTGCGCTGCTCATACAGATCTTGGAGGCGGTGAAAGCCATAACGGAGTGAATCTAGATGAGGCATCAACTCCGTGGAGATAAACGGGATTTGAATGCCTGGGCCGAGTCCACCCCGTTCAATGAAGGCCTGCGCTTCGTCTCTCCAGCGTTCCTGGCCCCAAGGGTCACCTAGCCGAAACCATGCGCGGTTTCCATCGGCCATGGTTTTATCGTTCGACTCCTGGGCCACCAAGTGGTGGATGATTGGCCCTCGTATCCCACGCGTCGAAATACGCGTGGCGCCACAGGCGCGCCGGGAAATAGAAGTCCTTTTTCTGAGGACCTCTCAGCCAGTACACAACCACCGCGGAAACATCCCATCCAGAGGTGGTAGCAGCCGCCCGAAGGCGCCACAGGGCCGCGTGTAGAAGACCAGCGGACTGGATGGGAAGCGACGGCTGCGCTCGCAGACCCAGGGGGACATCGTCCAGCGGGAGCAAGAATCTAAAAGTGCCTTTGCACACGCCCGGGTAAGAGAACATTTGGGGGTCGAAGTCACCCCGCCTGGCAGGGAGAAGCCCACGATGGAAGCCATCCATCAGCCGTTCGGCAATAGCGATTTGTGGCCGCCCAACCAGGGAGGCAGGCACTTCCGCCCTAACCCGTACCTCGAGGAAACGCTGGTCATTCTGACGGACTGGGGAGATGCGCACGAGTTGTAGCAAGGGAGCTGCTACAGGCTCATCCACCAGGGCCCGTGCAAGGTAGAACACCAACTGCACCGGCAACAGGACACCACAATGAAGCAAGGGTGTGCCCCGCTCGAGCTGCCTTCCCCCGTTGCTCGCCGGGCGCCTGATCCAGTGCCACGGCGCCTGCCTGTGGGCTGGGGAGGTCGCTTGGGCGCAAGAGACATTTGGATAAGGCTGCCATCGCGTACGGGCGACTTATGGCCTGCCTTGGCACTGGGGAGCGAGAACTTAAGACCCTCGAGCTCGTCCAAGAGGAACCACCACCAGATCTCCGGGCGAGCCAATTCATACCACGAAAGGTCGAAGACGCGCCCTTCGGGCAACCGCAACACAGGGTCGCAGAACTGCGCTAGCGCAATGGAGACTGCAAGCAGGGGAGTGAGGCACGCGCGGAAAGCTTCACTTTCCGAACAGTGACGAAGCATTAGCGCGCGATCCGCAAAATCAACCACTCGGGCTCCGAAATTCTGAGGGCTGACTTTAACTTCGCACGCCGGCAAGGAGAGGGGCAGCGAAAGAAGGGAAAGGCAGTCCATCCGGTCGGGGAGTAGTTGGGACAGCGCAACCGCGCTTGCAGGGCCTTCAACGTCCGATTGCTGCCTGCCCTTGGCCTGATAGCGACGGAGGATGTCGTGCTGCTCCTCGAAGTCATCTTCATCTTCAGGCGGAACGCAGTTGCTGGAAATGGCGTGGACACTAGGCAACAACCGACTAGGTGGGACTTCCACGGCGTTCAGCAGTGCAGCCACCCTTGCCTCCCACGAGGCACTAGGGGCTTTGGGAGTAGAAGCAGCACAGCTTTGGCTACGAAGCTCAGCAATCAAGTCGGGGTCCTCTTTAGCCGGAACGCCATCCTCCGGGTCGGGCTTAGCAAAGCCTGCGGTATCGTAGAGGGCACGCGGTAGGCCAGTTGTAGCAACCGGCGGGAGAAGGGCATCAGGCTGGCTCGTATCGCGCAGCAATGTAGAGACAAAGTGCAGGAGCCGCTTTATCGGCGTCAGGCTGATGGTGTCCGTGGCAATAGCAGAAAGATAGAATGCTCCTGGCACAGCTGCGACCAGCATGTCAGCGGCTGCCGCCCGGCCTCTGCACACAGTCGCATGCGCATCGAGCTGCATGTGCTCCCCAGTTTTATATTTCACAACAGCCGTCGGCACACCACGAGGAAGCCTGGAGAAAATAATGGCGCACATACAGATATGCCTGACAGGCGCGAATATAGCAAGAGTACCAACGCATGCACAAAGACCACATGAGCACAAATTGCTCATGGGTGGGAGGGTGGGGTCTTTGCGAAAACATGTGCTCCGACATGTTGCTCATTTGGGCCGACAGCTGTTGTGAAAGGAATGTCAACCGCAAACAAACAGAGTTGCATAAAACCGCGTTGTTGTTACATAAAAACAAGCTTGAGCAAGCACAAGGATCGTTTTATATTTCACAACAGCCGTCGGCACACCACGAGGAAATGGACCAGATATTCGGTAAGCAAAGCTTTCAAATATCATAAAGAAAATCCGAGGATATATATTCTAGAATCAAAGATATACGAAGTATGAATTTATGAAATATTCATCCGGTCTCGCGAACGAACTACAGAAACTGCACTCGGACCCCTCCTTCTTTTGGCGGTGGCGGAAAGCACACGAGTAAGTAAGATACCAAAGTATCGGACTTATCAAGATGCATCCCCCCTAAAGAACTGCCACAGCCAAAGAAGGAGGAGCGCTGGGACCAAAGCCCCAATTGAAATCGTGCTACGACTGACTGGCTGCCTTCACGGAGGACTCCACAGGAGACGAGTGCCCTCTGGGAAAACTCTCACATCATGGTCAGATTGCCACATGCGTTTGACCGGGTAGCGATAGCGAAAGTTTGCAGCAAACTCTGGCACTAAAGGATCCGTGCCGTTCCAGCGGGACAGGTAATCTGCCTCCTCGTTGCGGAAGCCCGAAATGTGGTGCACGTCCAGGGTAATCCCGTGTCTAAAAGCGACAAAAGCCAGTTGCTGAGCGAAGAAGCAGAGCGGGGATGACGTAGTCATCAAACGATTTGCCGATGCCTGTGCAGAGGCATTGTCGCAGAAAGTACGCAGCTGAAGCCTGCATCGTCCGCCCGGGCAAGTCTCTGCAAAAAGGAGTGCCAGAGCAATTTGAGCCAGGAGCTCCCAGCAACCAATGTTCTTCTGAGTGTTGTTGTCGAGAGGGATGTTCAAGTCATCGAAATCCGATTTCTCAAAGCGCCCGCTGAACCATAAGACGGGTGAGCCCTCAACACGAAGAAAACCCCCTATCCCGATAAATAAAAAAACCCTGAGCACAAGCATCCGCAGCCAAGGTACAGGCAATGCTCCGTGGAGGAAGGTGCAGGCACTGCTCCAATGGGCTGCGCATGCACCACGATTCCCAAAATTCCATGAACTTGCGGCTGCATTCCGAAAGCTTGCGCTTGGGATGTTTGGGATCAGAGATACGCATATATATCCGACGTGAAGTCAGAGGAACTTTATTCAAGTCCTGCTTCGCAGCTCAATGTGCCTGGCGGACAAAAGACGAGCACCTTGTGGAATAGCTGTGCCCGGAGGTTGGCTGGTGAACCGCAGGTTATCATCCAAGTACTCATGCAGCAAGTGCCACTCGCCAGAATCCACATGATGGTTTGTTGCCACCGGTCTATGCAGATCCGAATACAAGAATGCCATCCAGGGGCGGAGTTCAGGAGAAATCTGGCTTACCCACTGAAGCAAACCCACCGTTTTTTCAAGATCGCAGCGATCCACGTTGCCTGGCCGCAGAACAACCCGCACTGAACGAAGAATCTTCTCAATCTTGTCGGTTGGCAGACTGAAAGTCCCTGCTCTGAAACTGAATAGCCATCCTATCCACTTCACTCTATACCCGCACTGCAGTTTGTGCCACGATAGCGGCACATTGTATGCTTGGCAAAAGCTGAGGATGAGGCAACCTGAGATCTCGATTGCTTTGTCACCTTGCCACAGCAATAGGTCGTCGACAAAGATGCCTAAAGCGTGACACAACCAGATCAAGAGATGACAGGTTCGGATCATGAAAGCAGACAATCGTGCCCACCACAGAGCACTGAAACCTGTGCCGAATGGGCACACTCGGTACCACAGGTGTCGTCCGTCTTCAAGCTTGATCCCCGCCAAACCCCGGTCCTTCTCCCGAATGCGGATCGTTTTGTGAGCCGCGCGAATGTCCAAGCTGAATGCTGACAAGTCCTCGTTGTTCATGCGCAGTGGGAATGCAGAGCGCACGTCTTTAAGCGAGGGCAGACAGCATCGCTCATTCAAGAAGCAAAAAGAGTTGACTCCAGAAACCGTCCCATCCATGATTAAGCGCGGCTTGCGATTGTCCGCCAAAACCACGTTGAGCTTGGCAACTGCGATGTTCTCCCAACGCTGCTGAGCTGAAGCAAGATCAAGCTCTTCAAGAAAACCCTCTGAAATCTCCTTATCGATCAATTCCGAAAGGATTTTAGGATTATCCCTGGCCCCCTTCCAGTTGCGATCACAGATCACGAGCTCCGCCGGGGTTTCTGAAGAGTCATCCTTGTGCTTCGGAACGAAAACATGACTGGACGGGATATCCGAGAAGAAGCCTGTGGGAACACCCGCAATCAATGCTGGAAAGAGTTCATCATCTCTATCTTGCAAGGCTCGAGAGAGGCTTTGCAAAGCCAGCAGCGAGTAAGGCTGATGCTCAGCCACGCTCCAATCGATTGATTGCACACCCTGTTGCATGAACCATTGCTGCTTGTACCCTGGAGGCGTAGTTAAACATTCCAAAAGCCCGAAGGGCTAAAAGTTCAGAGGTTCAAGAGCTTGGGGTTCAGGATGTTGGGAATGGACAGCAAGAACGCGCAACGACATGTTTTGGATCGCACAGCCCATACCAGTCATGCATATGAAACTTTTTGGGAGACGATGCCGAAAGCATCAAGGGCGGGTAGGGTGGGTAACTAAAATTTCTAAGATCCCCTCCCGATTGGTCCGCAATGTATCGGATGCATAGATCGGATTCCGCAAAAGCTCTCCAGAGATTGTTCGAAAAGTCAAAGGTAAAACTGAAAAGGTTTCGTGGCCAAGGAAAAAGGCCAACTGAAAATGCACTAAAACTGACATGCCTAAAAGAGACTGAAAAACATGCAAGCACTGACATGTCTGACATGACTAAACATAAGTGCAACTGACAGAGCTGAAGACTGCATGACAACATGGCTGTGGTCCGAAGCCGCAGTGGCCGGGCGTACAACTGAAAGAACCGCCGCGTCCCTGCCATCCCCCCACCCCCCCAGGCCTCCAGGGAACAATTCGTTTGGTTCGTTTCACTGCCCAAACAGGGCTTGTACCCTGGAGGCGTAGTTAAACATTCCAAAAGCCCGAAGGGCTAAAAGTTCAGAGGTTCAAGAGTTTGGGGTTCAGGATGTTGGGAATGGACAGCAAGAACGCGCAACGACATGTTTTGGATCGCACAGCCCATACCAGTCATGCATATGAAACTTTTGGGAGACGATGCCGAAAGCATCAATCCCCACTCAACGAAGAGGCATCGTCATGCGCCTCAGCCCCACTGACTCTTCTCGAAACGAATGCGAGAAGGAGCTTGTCCTTCACCAGAAGCAGAGGCACGTGCATCATCCAGAGTGCTCTGAAAGTTCGCGAATCGGAGTAAAGACGGGAGCACTGAGAAGTTCAACTCACTCCAGCTGACAGTGACCCGAAGGCCCGGACAGAAATCTGAGAAATCATTCTTCGTGATCCTATCCGCCTCCTGATTCGCATCACGTGGCCTCCAGTTCAAGAGACATCTGACCCCGGCCAAGTCGCAGCGGTGAGCGTATTCCATCAGCACAAACATCACAGGGACCTTTGTCGTGAGAAGTCTGGCAGAAATGGCATCCGCCGACTTGTTGTCTGTTCCACCAGCGAAGCAGGCCCTGAAAGAGCCAGGACATGAAAACACCTCGGGAAAATCCCTCTCCAGCAGATGAAGCGCTACCAGCGAGGATAGCAGTTCAGCAGAGGTACTGGCCGGCCCAGGAGCTCCCAAGACCTTCCTTGAAGAGCCAAGGGGCTTCTTCGCGACGAAGCGTAATCTGAAACCAAGGAGCGGATTTACAGACAACACCCCTGACAAGGAACCAACCGCCTAGAACCACAGAGTCAGAGTTGCAAGCAGCGTCGGTTCTGAATAGTTCCCCGTAATCCTTATCCGCCAGCCCCGCAGGATACGTTCGTGAACCTGCGCGGAGCCGATCAAGAATGAATCGCAGGGTGCAGCGGATCAAGTTGGGCAGTGCCAATACAGCACCTTTGCTGACCACCGCGAGCCATGCGTATCCCGGCGCAAGGAAGGGTCTGATCCATATCAAGATTTGCGACATAAAGCCTAGCCGGCCATGGAGTTCGTGAAAACGGCGAACGTCCACAAGCCAGCTGTCTCCCTCCATGCCCTCAATCGATCGGATGATCCACTGGCATCTCTTCTCCGAAATCCCAAGCTTAAAGCGGCCATAATCAATCCAGTAACCGACCCAATCAAGTTGCAGTCCCCCGCGCCACTTCTTCTCCGAGAAGGGTGTGCCCTGCATGCACAACAGGGCAAGGGACATCCAGAGGTTGAGCCATCGATCTGAACCGCCGCTGAGCAGGTGTAGGTCATCTGCATAAATAAGCATGAAAACAAAAGCCTGAAGCATAACTCTAAGAGACAAACGGCCCACCAGACCGATCAAGCGGGCGAACCAATAGGCCGCCGAAGCAATTCCGAAAGTTCCTGTGCGGTTAAGCCATACAACTGATGAATCGCTCCGCGCTCTACACACGAGCACCCCCCAATGCTCTGGGTGGTGCAAATATCGCCTGTGCGCCTTTTTCACGTCTCCCACAAGTCCGAACAGGACTTTCTCTTCTGCCACCATGCCCAGCTTCTGAATCGAAGAAATCTCCCTCGGCCCAGGCGATTCAAGACGGTCAAGCATAACAATCTCATTGTTGACGTGAACCTCGTGGGTCCCATCATGAACCACACGGAACTCATGGTCAGGTTTCGGAATCACTGCTTGAGCGGCAATGCGAAGCGCAGGACCAGGGAAGCGTGCTTTCGCCTCCGCCAAAGAAAGTGGGAACATGCGTCCTTCTGCCTCTTCTTTGGTGAAAGCCTCCTCCAAGGCCTTCTCGACTTCAGCCCCATCACGATAGTTCTGCATCAACGGCTGCCAAGTTGACTCATGGTACTTCTGATCTTTCTGCGGATCCGGAACACTTGAGGCACTGGCCCCAATGGCGCCGTGTGCCCCACCTCGTCACCGTTCACGAAGCAGAACTCCCCCTCCTCGATGATGCGATAGTCTGGGTCCCCAAGAATCCGAAGAGTCTGAGAAATCGCCCTCAAGTAGAAGGGTTGATGAGGAATCATCTCCCGAGCCCGGATGGGATCAGGCAGCATGTTGAACCAGTCCTCCCTCAGTTTTTCCAAGCGACCCTGGTCAAAGAGCGGCCCGTTCCAGTGTCCCGTCGCCAGACGAAAAGTCGACTTCGCCAAGTCTGGAACACACTCCACGACGAACATCCTGACCCTCTCTTTCAAGCGCTGCGCAAAGTCTAAGGCTTCAGCGGACATCGCCGTGCCCCGGTTGCATGGCTTCCACCGACCAGGAGAGCAGCGACCAAACCCATCGACGAACTCATCCGAGGACCCAGCGAAATCCCCCACCATCGGGGGGCCTTCGCAACCAGACTTCAGTTCACTGAATGGAATGTCGTCCTGTTCAGGTACAGTCGCAACCTCCTCCGTGTCGATCAAGAAATCAGCCGATCCCCTCTTACGTTTGCCCGGAAGCTCGAAGTGCATAGATCCAAGTTTATCCCTGTCGGCAGGAGAAAGTCGGTCGTCATTCGCAACGGTATAGCCAGCCAAGACCAGCCTGCAGCCCCTCCAATCTTCAGTGCAATGCCAGACATGGGGATCGAAGGCAATCTTGCCCCCGTCCCATTCCAGTATGCGTTGAGGGGTCCAGGAGCCGCTAATAAAACGAGAAACCGGGCCTCCCTCAGACTGAACCCAGAGGCCCCCTCCCGAAAACTCCGAACAGGCCAACAACAAATTGTTGAAGGGACCATTCGCTGTGTCCTTATGGGGGGGCTGCTTAAGGTCACGAAAGAATGCTAATGAAGTGAAGACGCAATCAGGGAAACCGCAAGACACGAGACGTGCCAGCAGCTCCGATGCCAGAGGGAAAACATCAATGTTGCGCCTGAGCCCCACCTTGTCCTGGTGGGTGTAAGCGCCCGTCGTGAAAGATCGCTGGCCACTGACTTCTTTGCTGGACTGCCTGACTCTATCCTCATCCGGCAGGAGTTCTGAGAGGCGGAGAAGTTGATCCCGAGAGATCCTACCCTTTCCCAAGCAGACCGCAGCCATTTGTTCCGCTTGTGAAGAATTCACTTTAACCTCAACCTCCCTAGCCGGGAACTGAAAACAGTGAACAGTGAGCAGATTCGGGAACCGTAGCCACCGAGGGTGCACCTCCTCCCCCATCGAAGACGGAGAAGGTCCACGAAGCGATAGCCTTGCATAAATTAGGCGGATAAGCGGCAGCAGCAGCAGTGTTGGCGGCACCCAAAAGGCGATTGGAATGCCGGTGGCCACAGTACTTGGGCAGAGGCCCCAGATACTTGTCCGCAGAATCAAATCGAGGAGGCCCCATGAATCGCATGCCAGAGGTGGCTGCGATAGAAGAAAGAAACCTGGTGGGTTTAGGCGTGTGTGCTCCGTAGTGACACTGATAAATCGCAAAAGTCACGACCTGCTCGTGCGTAAAGAGCACAGCAGCTTCTGGAACTTGCCAAATAGATGCCGGTGTGTGACCGGTGGTTGTCATACCCAGGTCTTCTGGGTGCTCCAACAGAAAAGGAATAGAATTCGAAAGGGCAGCCGTGCAGATCTGAAAAGAAAAGGAAACGAACTGATTGCCATTATCCGCGGCAGCACGATGTGAGTCTGAAAGCCAAGGAAAACCCGCAGGGTAAATACGTGATCTCAGTGGCCGAGGACCCGGCTGTACGCATCGTGCCCGAGAGAAGGTATTGCAGGGCGGAGTCACCAAGACCACGTCCCACTCCGAATTTTGGACTTGAAGCAAGCACCGATCAGCCACTGCAGAGTCCAGTAAATCCATACTTGGGTCACGGCAGATGTCGACTTCGGACATCTCCAAAATGATGTTCTGTGACGTGCATAGGACCTCCAGCCAGGCGCGAACATCCGCCTTTCGAGTGGGACCAGAAAACAAGTAGAGGACCCGCAGCGAAGGGCGCACACCCGAAGTGGAATCCGAAACTGAATTAAACTCATCGCGACGAAGTCAGGAGCCGCCCTGCGCGCCATGCTGGTATGCCGGGTGGTTCGCCTGGCAACCTTTGACTCTGCACGCGTGAACTCGCTGACATCCCTTGACCTGACACCCACGCTTGATGTTGTAAGCGTAACACAACTCACGTCCATCTGGTGTCTTCGAGACCAGATCGAACCATGACTCGCCGATTTTGATCTTGCCATCGGCCTTGCCCTTTCCATCCTTGCCACCTTTGTCTTTACCGCCCTTTTCTCCCTTCTTGCCGTCACCCTTGCGAGGCCACTTTGGCGGCGGAGGGTCGGCGCCGGTCGAGCGTCGAGACAATGCCACCTGAGGCGTAAAATGCAGCTCCTTGAGCTCGGTGTTGGTGGTAGCCTCATGAAGCTTGTCACCCAGCGGGGCACTCAAACGATGCGCCTCCTTGATGGCCCATTTACGAAGCTCGAACTCATACTGAAGCAAGATATTCCAGGGCACAGACAAAGTGTGACGATCAGCATGTGCAGAAGAACTCATGGGAGCCGCAGATGCGACTTGCATGCTGTAGCACTTGTCTCCCAGAAGATATTCCAAGAAACGATCAAAATGCGACAACTGCAATCCCTGCAAATAAGCACGACCGCGACACTTCGCGGCCAACATCACCCATGTTGATGCCTCGAGCCGAATCTTCGCTCGCCGTTCCTCAGTGTTCTGCGGGAGCTTCCCCTTGGGCTTCTGGCGCATAACACGAAGGCGACCCTGATTGTCCAGCGAAGTCTGGAGCTGCAAAGAGTTGGACTCCTTACGCGAAATAACCTCATCAAGATAACTAGCGGTGGGCTCGCCATTCTCAATCTGCTCAAGCTTGTGTGCGAGGTACTCAGGCGCAGGCTCCTCAGATTCTGGAACAGAGTAGCCCCTTACCGCCTCCAAAGCAGCGCGCATAGCCGCTCGATCGGAAGAGACGAGGGGCTTCTGGACCCCCAACACCTTAGCCTCAGCACGAAGTTCCCAAGAAGTGATGACACACGCCATCCTAGCACGATCTGCAGCACTCTCGGCTCGAACGCCGAAGTCAGCGGTGATGGCCGTCCGAGCCGCCCCCCTATCATCGGCAAATGCAGCAAATGTCCTGATACTCCTGTAATGCTGACCAATGGCGTACTGCAACGCTAAGTCAACACCATGCTCTTCCAGAAGGAAGATAAAGTCGGCATCGACGTTATCTTTCAAGAACTGACGCTGTGCCGCAGGATCGGCCGCCATTGTCGCTCCGAGGCGAGCGAAGCTAAAGACTGACAGTACTGAAAGAATGAAATCTGACAGCCCCAAAGGAGCACTGAGAGTCTGAGAGTGGCTCGTATAGTCACGTCGTCTGAGATTCACAACGTGAAGTACTGAGCAGAAAACTGCCCATTTCAAGCATCTGATTTGCTCCCGCAACTGCAACTGATAGCACTGACAGCACGCGGCACAAAGGCACTGAAAGCACTGATGCAAACTGACACCACTTTGTACTGGCATGCGAATCTGACAGTCTGATCTCAGGTGTGAAACCCCAAATCGGGAGCCCCACTATCCTCAGCCGGCTCCCCGAGCTCGGTCGACGAAGACTCCCCCGAACTCGAGGACGGATCCACTTTCTCCTTATAACAGAGCTTACAGAAGCTATCAGCAACATTCGGTCCGGCTTCCCAAACCTCGGCGAAGCGGTGGCAACTGCTCGGAGTGACCCAGCAACCATTCCTAATGTGCAGCCGACGATGACCAGAATGCCTGCTGATGCTAACCCAGAAAGGAGATTCCTTATCAGTCTGAGATGAGTTCGAAACCGGCGGGGCCGGGGCAGCGTTGTCCGTCCCGTCGGTGAAATCGGCCAATAAAGGCCAAGTCTGATTCAATACCTTGCAGCCAGAAACGGTGCGCATCACAGCATGAAGCCTCAACCACGGATCAGGATCAGAACCCCGATCGCGGAGCCACTCGCGCAGCTCATCAAACAGCTCCTCCTCGTCGTACCCGGGTTTGCCACCCGACAACTTGTCGCACACACGGCGCTGAATGTCATGCACAATCTGACGGCAGGTATGAATGTAATCAGAACTCTGATGCAGACCAATGTGCCAGCGACCTAAGTAATCGCGCCGTTCCTTCGGAACCTCCAGAACAGCAGCAATGGTTGGGAGAACATGACGCATGCTATGTCCCGTCCAGAACAAATAACACTCGTCACCAAGGAGGGTCCCTTCAGCCCTCGATTTCCACACGTGTTCACCAATCTTGCGAAAAGGAACTTTCAGCTGTCGCCAGATCAAACGCATGTAATTGCTGATGACCTCCGGTTTTGCAAATTTGAAAATCGGCTCCTCAAAATCTTCGGATGACTGGAACACCAAGAAAGTCCTGTCCAGCTGTCCAAGGCCCTTCCACAAGTCGAAACCCGAGAGCAGCCAATCACGACCAGACAATCCCACATCCCGACCCACAAAGAAGGGAACCTCAGCCACCTTCTTGTCGGGACCGGTTGTCTTGGTTTTGACTAAGAAGCCCTTAAGCCCATCACGAAAAAGCCTAAGCCTAGAAACGTCGATTCCTTGCAGATCGGACACACGCATGCAAGCCCAGACACACACCAGACAGGCCCACATAAGGCATCTAGCATATAATGGATTGCAGCTGGATACCACAAAGATCTCCAAAGAAAGTAACATTGCCACCGATAAGGGGGCCGCCTGCTTCTTGTTCGTGACCCCCACATGAACTTCCGCCTCTGAGCTCTTCGAGGCAGCAACCACCAATCTGTCCTTGCACAACTGGCTCGCCAAAGGAACCTGCCCTGCATCCTCCAGAACAGATAGAGCACTCTTATTTCTTTCCTCAAACGTGCACTAAGGCGGGGAACACCCGAGCGTAAAGGGCGGAGCCCGTAAACTTGCGCTAACCGAGTCGGACTCTTCGTTTTACTCAAAAAGGGCAAAGGGGTAACGTCGTTCGAGAGCAACCATGCTGAATGCCGTTTGGCATAACGAGCTGCCCCCAAGGAGGGCCAAGGGAGTGGCTCAGCAATGGTTGAATAAAAAGGTGAGGGCGGGCGGGACAAAGTTGATTCACTTCATGCCGAAGGAAATGGACTTCCCTCCCACCCTTCCCTTGAGAAGAAATGCGGATACGACAAGGTATTCGCAAGACTCAAAGGAAACAAAGTTGGAAAACTGGTGCACTCGGTTTTCAGAGAAAAACCGTTGATTGTTCAAAGGAAATAAAGATTTATCCCTACGCTTCGCTCCGGGACGAAAATCTTATTTCTTTCCTCAAACGTGCACTAAGGCGGGGAACACCCGAGCGTAAAGGGCGGAGCCCGTAAACTTGCGCTAACCGAGTCGGACTCTTCGTTTTACTCAAAAAGGGCAAAGGGGTAACGTCGTTCGAGAGCAACCATGCTGAATGCCGTTTGGCATAACGAGCTGCCCCCAAGGAGCCCCAGAGAGCAGCAGCTCAAAAGGGCCAATCGCAAAGCAGAGAGTCTCTGCGGACCCCTTGCCTTATGAGATGCTGGAAGGAGTCACGACTCGGATCGTCTGCGCAATTTGAGTGGGTTGGCACACGACCAAACCACGGCCTGCATAACGACCGATCTTCCAGCCTCAGAAAAGACTCGACGATTTTCGTACCTGTCAAAGTAGAAGATCTGGCTGACGTCAAAGCTCCACGAGCTGCTTCGTTGTCTAAGTAAAAGACAGAGTAGCTGTCATGGATATGCCTCTCCCAAAGGGTGAGTGCTGTCCACACTGCTAGCAGCTCAATCTCATATATGGGATGCGAAGAGTGATTGTGGAGTCTCTCAGTAGAGGCTTGGTTCAGCTTGACCGAGAAAAAGGCTAGGGGCACGCCTTGGCTATCGTGTAGAATACCTCCCACACAAGCAAAGTTTCCCTCCAGGCTGCCGTCAGTAAAAATCAAGAAAGTTCGCTGCAAACTCCTCGAAATTTTCAGCGGCTCAGAATGGAGAGCAACGTCCCTGAGGAACGTGAGGGACTCTCGGAGTTCCGTAGGCAGCGCGCCTTTTGATGCACTTCGATTTACCCAGTCGCTCAGGACGTTCAAAGCTTGAGAAGATCTGCGTCCAAAAAGAAAGGAAGTGTACCAGTGGAGCCTGCCTCGCAAGCTTTCGGCTTCAGCGTGCGAAAGGCGGTTGGACTCAAGAATGCGGGTGATTGTCGCACGCAGCTCATCCCCACGTTCTTGAGTATGACCGATGGTCACATATCCTTCGCCGAAATGGCTCAAATCGATGATAAGGCCGAGCGCTTTGAAAGCCTTTGTAAACACAGTGGCTTTCTTGCCAGCACGTGCAAAGTACACGTGCAAAAGGTCAAGAAAACTGGTGGCTACTTCTTCCACTAGGTCGCAGTCGGAATCTTTGGAGAAGATCGGGAAATCGTCAAAGTAGTTGGTCCATGGGATTCCCAATGCATGGGATCCCAAGAACCAGATCGCAGCTGCACATCGGAGAAAGCTTGACACACTACCCGTAGCTCCGAAAGGCAAGGAATTCACTTTGAAAGTGCGAACGTGTCCGCTTGAAGTGTCTTTGACGCCAATCCGTAAAAGGTCACGATCGAAGGGATGTGTGGCGTACTGTTTGTACGCCGCAGTCAAATCAAGTGTCTTCCCTGAGATGCTAACGCCTTTGCTGCGAGGGTCAAGCATGGCTCGCAAGAGGAAGGCAGCGATGTATTCGACGCTCTGTAATCTGTATTTCTCAGGGATGCCTGCTAACAAGTTGTAAGCACAAGCACGGCAGTCGTCTATGACCCTGACCTTTGGACCTTGTAAAAGCCCAAACCGCTTGGCAACAAGGACCGTAGAAAGATCTGGGTTTTCGTCTTCCTCAATCCAACCTTTGTCAACTTCTTCAAGCGTTTCAGCCCAGGCACGACGAGACACCTCATCAGGAGCCTGCTTGGAGAGCTTCGTCAAGGTGGCGGTGTTTCTGGACTTGGCCATAGAGAGCTGACTTTGTAAGGTGGAGGCGGGAGGCTTAGGGTCAAAGGGAAAAAGACCCGATCTACAAACCCAGCCCGTAAGCCTAAACCCCTGCGTCATGTGCTTCACAAGGTGGCGATCTGGAAAGTCGTGCTGGGTGAGCAATTCGTCCATCAACAGAGTTGGCTTTTCATCCAGAACCTGCGCCACATGAATGGGCCACTCCTTTTTGCACACCTCCTGGGATTCGGAGAGGTCCGACCGTAGCTCGGTCCATCGCCGAACTTCATGCAAACCTTTGTCTGGCTGTTTGACATTGCTGTTCAGAAGGTTGTCTATCAGCAAGGTCATGTGCGGATCGGCTTCGACATCTAGGAGGGATTTTGGGTGACCGGCTGCCACAGCTCGACGTAAAAAGTCATCCGGTTCACGGGGAATGCCAATCCATACAACTTCAAGCACTGGAGAATGCTCTGTCGGAGGCAATAAGCCGCAGACATCAGAGAAATCCTTGGTTGGTGTGTGCGCATCGTGCTTGCAATGCTTAGTGGCCCATGTCCAGGGGCTCGACAAGACATCATCGACCTTGCACAAGTCAACAGAAGGTAAAACGCAAACCCGAACCAACCCCGGATCAACAAGTTTGCGTCTTACTGCGCGGGCTCCTTTAGGGTAGCATCTCAGGAGCTGGAGCACAGGTTGCTCGGCACGAAGAGGCACTGCCCAAGCATCATATTTGCAGAATTCGCTGACCAATGGCCGGGCTTTACGAGATTGCTTGCCCATAGCAGGCCGTAGGTCACGACCCGGAGGACCAAACAAAGATGATGTATTTGGCGTGAAGCCTGAGTGCTGGCACAGTAACTCTACAGCACGATCCCAAAGCAAATGAGGCCACTGCGGGGCCGAAGCAGCTTGACTATAATGCTTGTGGTCCTTGGAGCATGTTGCCTGTAAAGGGCGCAACAAAGCAGTTGAGGCCCACCAGAAAGCGCGGCGATCCTGGGCCCCTCCATGCATGCATTGGTCAAATGTAGTCCATTCACCGTCGGCAGCTTGGAAGAAGTGTTGGCAAGACGGCATGTGCCAGAAGCGCGACGTAGCAGGGTGCAGAATCGCAAAAGGAACTCCCACAGCCCTGCAATGCGAGCAAAGCTGGAAGACAGCATCCACCAGCAACTCGGCGAAACTCCATGAGCCAGTCTTTGACGTGAAGAAGGTACTCAAGCACGGGACAGTGAACTGCACCAATGACGTAGCACCGGCGTGCTCGGAAATCACCTCCAGGAGCACCGCAAGCTCGTCGGCCTGCGTTATGTCGAGAGGTTGAATTGGGAATTGGGCACGCTGAGGCTTAAGGTCGAAGGCTAGGGCTCTAAAGCCGGCTTTGTGCGCGGCTTTGCAAAAGGCGGCATCGCCAGCGAATACATCTATAATGACTCCAGAGATAGCATCAGAGGCAGCTGTGGTCGTATGGCTGAGTGCTGGAACCGAGGCAGGTGCCTCGGTAACACCTGGGAGCACAAAACCCAGGGACCTCAAACAGCTCTCATCTGAAATTGGAATTTTGGAAATTCCATACACACTGAAAGCCACAAGTACAAGACGGGGACCGTTGGTCCAGTCTAAAGTTTCGTGCTCAACCGTCGCATCAAATGTGACGGGCCCTGCTGAGACCAGCAAGTCCTCAGGACCACTAGGGTGATGCACCCTCACTGCACCACCGCAGAATGGGCGAAGAGGTGCAACGCCATTCAAGGATCCAGGAAGATTCCTGAGGTCACGGTGCCTGCGAGTTTTTACATCTTTGAAAAGGCCGACACTTGTGAAGTGAAAATTCGAGAATACACTGGCGGCGAGAGTGGCAAGGAGACGCGAGGCCAGTGGGTAAGCTCGCGCATTATGCCTGACACCTACAGTGCCACAGTGGTAATATGCTCCAGTCGTGAAGGCACGTCCTGACGGGGCGGCTCCATCACTTCGAGTTGGAGTCTCGCTTTGTAGCATGTTCGAGAGTTCAAGCAGCTGCTCAGATGAGCAATTGCCATGCTCAAGAATTTTTGACGCAAGTGACTCACAAGGGTCACCTGGGACACTGGATGGGCTCCCCATGAACGCAGCGAAGCTGAAATTGAACGCGGAACATGCCGCGTTGACATCAGCTTCAGGAGGAGAAAGCACAGAGTCACGTTCGGAATCATCGTGAACATTTATGAAAGGTTTGGTGACACGTTCGGCCTCATCTTGGCCGACAGGCTTGGGGAGTTGCCCTGACACACGGAATTCACATGCAGGATTAGGACTGCGAGATCGCAGCCTGGGCCCCTCTGAAGAGGGTGCAACACTGGTAGGAGCTAGTCACTCCTCTGGGGAAGACGAATCACTCTTGTCGCCCTTTCCCTTGCCTTTCTTGCCTTTGCCTTTGCCTGCGTGGGCAAACCAGCAAGCAGAATGCCCATGGCCTAAGCGCCTACACGTCATGCAACCGTGAACACCACGGCTGCAAGCAGGCGGACTGCCCTTGCACTCGGCATTGCACTTACCGAGATTGAACTGCCAACAGAACCGGTGGCCTGAAGAATCAGCATGGTACGGGCATGACTTCAACTCCTCAGGCAGATTTGCAGTTTTGATAGGGGCCTTGAGCTTAGCATCTCTTTTCTTTTGGCGTTTGCTGGGCCTCAGATCAGGAAAGGATGATCCGACCTCACCTGCGAGACTCGGCGAAGCGACTCCCTGAGAGGCTGATCCACGCTGAAGTGGCTGGAGATAGGTGGTGATCCGAGGGTCATGACGGAACCGATTCATAAGAACATCCATCTCCATCACACCACTGCTGTCAGGTTTGACACGCTCGACCTCACGGGCTAAAAGCAAGAAGATTTCGGAATCTGCACGCAAAATTTGCTGCATCGAAATGGGTGCGTATCCCGGAGGAACATCCGAGGACAAACATCTCAGCAGAGACGCGACCCACTTCTCGTGAGTCTCCCACTCCATGAAGCCGCACATGAAGAAAGCCAAGCCTCGGCGCTGGAGACACCATTGGACCTCCAAGGGAGTCCCATGCTCAGCGACGATTTTATCTGGAGCCGGGGCCAAGGTGACTGATTGCTCCTGAACAGTCAAGTACTTTTGCTTGTCGCGAAGCCCTAGCTTGAGTTCGGCATCCCTCTTAGTGCACTTCGACGGTGGGATCCAAACCACCGCATTCGACTCGCCCATGTGGGAAACTGCGTCAATGAGGGCATGACTTGGCTCCATCTCATCCTCGATGACAAGGCCTTTCAAACGCTTCTTGGCATCCGCAAGTCGGGCGGATTTCTCCGCTGCCGGAAGTCTCTTTCCAGCTTCTGTTGAATCCCCTTCTACGAGTGCGCGCAACTGGGCAATGACCAAAGTCGAGGATTCGAAATGGAGTCTTTTGAGCTGGCTCACGCGGCCTATGGACGCTGGGCTCCCGACAACGGAATCAGCAAAGGCCTTAAATTCTGCTTCCGTGGGTTGGGCCTTCGGAGTTCCACAACTGAAGGCCAAGGCTGAGTGAGTTCGCACCCCCGAGGCTTGCAGCAATGTGTGAAGGGAATCGTCGCCACATATCTCCTTACACCTAGCTGCAAAAGCAGCCTCGCTGTCAACGAGGGTCATGGCAACTCACAGCACTATGGGCCTGTCCGTCCTACTGAACTGAGACAAAGCTGCTGCAACCCAACTCTCAGCGTGTGATCCATCAAGCAAACTCACATGTTGAGAGAGAAGGATCAAGAACAGAGAGAGAGAGAGAGAGAGAAGAGAGAGAGGGAAGAAGTGAGCAGAAGGGACGAGTTGCGGCACATCGAGGGGCTGCTGCCTGTCCTGATGATTTTGGCTCACGACTCGACATGGAAACCCCTACCATGACACGCACTCACTCACTCTTTCCACTCTCTCAGCAAAACTCAGTCGCGCCCAGGGTTAGCTAGGGATCTCTTGCACTGCTTGCACACTGGGGTATCATACCTCAGCCGGCCAGGCTCGATGAAGGGGCTGTCGCCAGTTTGCAACGGTCTTCCGCACAGTGTGAAGCTGCGGTGCCCGGCCAACAACAAATGCAGAGTTTTGAGCTTGCGATGCTGCATGAAGAAGGTACCTTCAGGAGGCGAAGGCGGGGGCATCAGCCTGGGCTCCGGATGTTCTCCCTCAGAAGAATCAGACGACTCGGATGAGGAGCCTTCCGACGACGTGTCTCCGTCAGAGGAGACACCGTCATCGGGATTGACTTCGGAGATGTCTTCCGGAACTATCTCAAAGGATCCTTGCGGCTCTCGATCAAGCTTAAAGCTCAGGTCGCCAACACCCTCAGAAAAATCGGGACTCGGAGGTTCTGTTCCGTCCGATTTGACACTCATGACTTCACCTCCCGCATGGGAAGTGCACGCCTCCGACTTCTCAGCCCTCGATGCATGTGACGGTGCCCCCAAGGAGACTAGATCCCACTGAGAGAAGCTTTCAAGACCCCTAGCGCTGCAATCGCGATTGCTGCTGCCAAGATGGACATCACCTAGCGGCGGAGGTTCAGTGGGAGCAGCATGGGCACCTGTGGGCAGCTCGGCCCCTATCAATTCCTCATTGGTGCGCCCAGGAAAACGAGCAGCCCTGCCAGCATCTGGTGCAAACTTTCCTAGCCTGATTTCAGACAGCATGCCCGCCAGAAGTCGCAATGGGCGTGCTAAGGCATCCCGCGCATATACATCAGCCATGTGAGCCCCATGGAAATGCCCGCCTAAGGCCAGCCGGTCAGTGTGAGCTAACCCTCTCTTAGCTGCAAAAGACAAAAGAGTGGCTTTCAAGCTGTGGGAGGTGGTGCGACGGCCTTCACGCCCAGGCAATAGCTCTCGGAGCCACGCACCTGCTTCGTCAGATCCCAAAGCCCTGACCGTCGGGGCGCCAGATTTGTCGGGGGCGGGCATGCTTGGATACCCTTTGTTGTACTCGACGCCTAAAGCCTTTCGAACCTCCATGAACACACAGAGCCAATCTTTGCCATCGAGGCCACGGCCTACCGCAACTAGCTCGAGACACTTCGGAAGTTTTGAGGAGAAGTTCATTGTCTTATGCACATCGATGAAAGCTGAGCCGAACTCTGCAAAGCCCTGGTCGTTGCACTCCAGAGAGAGCGAGTCAACATGTTGGAAGTCGCTCCATCGACACCTGGCGTAGATGCAGTAGAGGGACACTCCACACATGAGACGATCCCAGAGATCATCCCCTTCGTAAAGGATTCGATGCATCTCAAGTATTTCTTCAACTGTGAAAGGGTCTGCCTTAGAGGCAAGAGTGGCTTGCTTGGCTGAGGACAGGCCCCAACACCTCTTGCTCTTGACACTGGCATGCAAAGTCGAAATGTCAAATGTAAAGTGCACGAAAGTGATCGCCTCCATGATGCCTCGCAAAGCTGACAAGGATGCACCACCGGTTTTGCAATCTCTCAAAATCGAGTAAAGAGAAGGCTCCTGCATGGGCATTGTTAAGCCTTCGGAAGCTACAGACTTGCCCAACATCAACATGCTATTTGCGCGCTTGAGACATGTACTGGGAGCTTTGCGGGCCAAATAATCTCCCAGGAGGTCATGACAGGCCTCAGGCGATGCGGCTTCCTGAAGCTGACGGGTGACAGGGGAAGATTCACTGTCCCAGCTTGCAAAAACTCTACACCACTTGATAAGCGCTCTGCTCAAGTCGGCTTCTCGCTGATCTCTCCAGGAGATCACAGCACGATTCAACACAACTCGCTCGAAGGTGACGGTAACAGCTTTGCGAGCGCGTTTGGGCCCAGGCAGCTCATCCGCTTCTAAAGCCTCTTGCAGGAACTCCACCGGAGGGCTTAACCTATCAAACCTGGGAAAAGACAAGAGGTCGTCAGTCGTCATAACGGGCTTGAAGAAGTCGCTCCAGAATCCTTCACCCCAGGAAACTTCGGAAGCTCATCACGAAGGCCCAGGTGCGACGAGCGCAAAAGGTTCCTATAACCTTGCGGGTTATGCTCGATGCCTCTGAGTACCGCAGGAAGCACGGGCTCCGATTCAGAACTCAAGCCAATACCACCTTCAAAGAAGGCATCAGCAAACTCTGACTCTACTGCAAGCTCGGATGGCTCCCGATGTGAGCTGATGCACTCCCTGTCGCTTGAAAATTCAGGATTCGGGTTCCAGGAGACAAGATCATCTTGCAAAGTTTGCTCTGCATCGACAGAACACACACTCGCGTCTGGGGCCTCTGAAAGAAGCCTGAAGGCACTACCGGCAGTTTCTAAGTCCTCAAGAGAGCCAGGCTGATCCATGGCACCCGTCACAGGACGGGTTTACCCTCCCCTAAGAACTACCCACCGGCACGCACTACGCCACCCCCCCAGCACAAAGTTGATTCACTTCATGCCGAAGGAAATGGACTTCCCTCCCACCCTTCCCTTGAGAAGAAATGCGGATACGACAAGGTATTCGCAAGACTCAAAGGAAACAAAGTTGGAAAACTGGTGCACACGGTTTTCAGAGAAAAACCGTTGATTGTTCAAAGGATATAAAGATTTATCCCTACGCTTCGCTCCGGGACGAAAATCATAAACTCCGAAATACAGCTCTTGGTGCCCACCTCCTGCTCCAAGAAGAGGAGATAGTCCACAACGTCACTCGGACGCCGCGGGAAAGCAACGGACTTCACAGAAAGCATCCAGTTCCGAGCCTTGCGCCAGGCTCGTGCCCGGTTCCTCAAAGTCTTCGAGCGACGGGTACCCAGTGCCCTCAAAGCATACAGAACCCTTTGTTCCTCACTTTCAACCGGAATATCCACGATGGGAAGCTTAGCCTCCACCATAATTTGTACCAAGACTGTACCCCAGAACTTTCTAGCAGCCTTCTCAGCATCAGCTGGCGTACCAGCCCCACCCGAGATCCATCTCGCATGAGCCCGGCTGGTTTGCTTCGTTAACTCAAGGCTGCCGCTCACCAATTGTGCATAAACCTCACCAGGAGAAACATCACCACAAGGAGGCGCCACAATCCTCGTAGCCTTCGTCTTTAGTCTACCTTGCACCCGCTTCAGCAAGTCAGTTTGATCCCGGAGCCAGCCCCAAATAAGCGCACCAGCTCTCTTATGGTCTGAGGACACAGCAGACGGAAGGACCTGCTCGGCCAGGACCACTGAATCCTCTAAGCTGTCCACTGAGCAGGCCAGGTGCCAAGGAGTATGAAAATGCAAACGAAGCTCCCTCACGCAAGTGCAGCCGGAATCTTCAAGAAGGTTCCAGAGCCTATCCTCCATCATATAATGCCATTGCGCGAAGAAGCCTGAAAGGCGCCCCCCCGTAACTAAAATTTCTAAGATCCCCTCCCGATTGGTCCGCAATGTATCGGATGCATAGATCGGATTCCGCAAAAGCTCTCCAGAGATTGTTCGAAAAGTCAAAGGTAAAACTGAAAAGGTTTCGTGGCCAAGGAAAAAGGCCAACTGAAAATGCACTAAAACTGACATGCCTAAAAGAGACTGAAAAACATGCAAGCACTGACATGTCTGACATGACTAAACATAAGTGCAACTGACAGAGCTGAAGACTGCATGACAACATGGCTGTGGTCCGAAGCCGCAGTGGCCGGGCGTACAACTGAAAGAACCGCCGCGTCCCTGCCATCCCCCCCACCCCCCCAGGCCTCCAGGGAACAATTCGTTTGGTTCGTTTCACTGCCCAAACAGGGCCAGATCTCCCTGAACTGCCGAACCTCCGTCTCTGTAAACAGCGAGAGTTCGCTCTCGGACTCCACATGGGCTCGCAACGCAATGGGGCCCTGATGTGGAAAAGGTACTCCACAAGCTGCTTACGCACTCCCCCTAGGAGGTCCTTGCAGCCGCTCGGAGGAAAACTCCAATCCGGCATTGAGTAGATCCCACCTCCGTCCTGTGTGCTTCGGGGAAGTTCCTCCTTGGTTTTGTGAGTTCGAAGAAACCTAACCTGTTCAAGAGAAATGGTGTACGGCTTGCTCGAAGTCTCGAACAAAGGAAGAACAGCTTCTGCATAGGCCTGTGCGAGCTGTACCGGAAACTCCGATGTGGCTCTTGAAGCGTAAACGCCGTCTTTGTCAACAATCCCTGCCACCTGTGCATGCGACTGAGGATCGTGTTGACAACTACATGCAATCTGCTGTAGATCCCGAAAACTGCATGCGAAACACCACTGCTTCAGTACATCCATACCGTAGCCACAAGCAGCCACACAGTTCAGGTCCGCGTTGATGTGTTGCAGAAATTCTCGGACTTCCTGCTCCAACCATGCCATGCTGTTCAAAGGGTTTTCCAGACTAACATGCCCTCCAGCACAGTATGTTGCCAGCAGCAAATTGATTGTACGAACCAGCACTTTTTTACTTTGCTCCAGACGTTGCCGCTCTGACGGACTCAAATCAGGAACGCCAGACATGTGTTCTGGAGTGCGAATCGCCCTGGGGCCACCGTCTGCCCGGAGCTTCAGCCTGGAGTACTCCGTACAAGGTGGAGAGGCGTGTGCCAGATTGACCTGTCCGCTGTAGCATAGCCGCATGAGGCTGTCATAAGTGGAGTCATTCAACAAGTTGTGATCTTCATGCAAAAGAATATCGATCGAAAGCACTGGAACACCTTTCGCCAGGACGGCAGCAGACAGAGGCCGATTTGGCCCAGAACAGATCTCCAGAAAAAGATTGCCGCGAATTGCATCAAGGTCGGGAGGCATGACTGCCACCGGTAGCCCCAGCTGTGCCTGGTCAATTTTGGCAGCCCGAGACTCACACCCCACCGCGTCGATCTCCATGGCGTCGCCTGCTAGCGGAAACATAAGATCACGTAGAGAGCGAAGATCCGGTTCAGACATTGAACCCCAAGTGCAAGAAGTATAGGCCGTCACGACCCATCTGTCACCAACCCATGGCTCCGAACAATGAGCAATGCGGCCGTCCCAAGAAAAACCACACCTCCTGGTCTGAACTATGCAACCCAACAGCGAGGCATCAGCTGATGTGTCCGGCGGAGGCACTCGCGGAAGGTGAGGAAGTTCGTCTGGCGGCAAAGCCACCCACAAACCGCCTTTCTCAAAGGCTCCAACACTGAATGAATAATTCAAAGATCCCGGAAGGTTCTTATCCACGTGGATGTGAGCGAACTCATTGTGACTGACACAAAAACTGGACCATGTGCCATCTGGAAAAATCTGCCGAAGGAAAATGTTCAGGTACTCAACGAATTCTGCGTTTTCTGCCGTGCCTTTGCAAAGCCCCGCATTGGAGCCCGCTCTCGCCCCAAAATTGAAATGTTGTGCTCGAGATCGCGCACCTGCAAGAACTGTATCTCGATAGAGAGGAGCATCACACAAACAGTGAGTCTGCAGGATAGCCAAGCAAGCTTCCCAAGAAAAATCCGCTGAAGTCGGCGACGGAAGTTCGCTGGATCGACCAGTCCGCACATCGGAGTGTTCCGCCACCGACTGTGACCTTCAGATTTTGCGGTGTTGGAAAGCAGGATGCTTCCCTAGGCACGGCTTTCCATCTGGGCCTGGAACCGGGCAGAGATGCTCGAATTTACAGTTTTCAAACTTGCATCCATCTGGAGAACTGTAACCACGGCACAATTGCTTGCGTTGACCCTTGGAGTCTGTGTAAGAAAGCATCCAGCGTTGACTATTGGTGCCATTGCCCTTGTTGCCCTTGCCGTTCTTACCACCCAGGGAGTCTTTCCCCTTGCCATTGCCTTTGAAAGGCTGCCTGTTGATCTTCAAGATTTGGCTGCGAGGCTGCAACATGGCAGCCAAGTCACCGCGAACTTGCACTACTTCCGTCAGTGCATCATTCAGGCTCCACTTGTGGACATTGACTAGATCCGCGATCAAGCCCCAAATGTGCTTGTCTGCCGCCTGAAGCTCCTCCATATTCGGGCTTCGGAGCCCCGAAGATGCCTCATGCCGCTGGCAGGCCAGGCGGATGAACTTGCGCTCGTAAAGACGAAGGCTCTGGAGGTGAGCCCCCTTAACGAAGGCGATTGATATGCACAAGAGACCTAATATGCCCTGCAGGAAAGTCATGCCTACTTGGCCTTGTGGTAGCTCTCTTGACGGTATCTCGTCGTACACCAGCTCCTCCAACCTCGGGATTTTTGCCGGCCTGCGCAGAGCGAAAGACTCCTCTTGAGATTTGCTCATCCGATGCTTCCAAGCCACCCACCGCATCTCACCTGGTTTCACAAGCTTTGCGGCCAACGCAAAGAGCCGGTGACCTGGGGTGTTATCCGCGTCCAAGACCTCTCCTGGGTACGAAGCCTCGAACTCCAGGCGGAGTTTCACCACCTCCTCACCTGTCAGTTTAGCCGGGAAAGAGTCTACCCACGAGGCTGCATTGGATGTCATGCTTGCATGGGCCGCGCTCGCCCCATTCGATCCAGTTGCTGTCACCGACTGACACTTCTGAAACAGCAAGCGGAAGGATGACATAAGACGTAGTATCTCGGTGGATTCCGCCGGCAAGGCGGCCCCCTCCAGCAGTATCTCGATTGAGGCATCCACTTCCGAGGGTGAGGCTGCTAGGCAACCAAACAGCGGCACGTCATAACCATCCAGCACGAAGTGGAACTCCTGCGGCACTCTGCATGCAACGGCAAGCTCCAAAAGCGCCGCATCCACGTTAGCCATGGAAGCCTGAAGCGAGGTGCAGACAGACAGGTTGAAATTGCAATCGATGAACGATCGGCGGCAGTAGCCCCTGCCCGCTGCACACACGTGCGATTGGCCTCACGGCTGCCAGGTTTCCGAAGGACTTTTATGCGCGGTAGTATCATGTCCCACTGGCTGCAATTGCCATGCACTTGCCTTGAAGGTAAGACAACTAGGGGGGGGCCGCCCTCCGCATTTCACGACCGTCTTGGACGGCGGACTGGCACACACGTGCGATCAGATCTGCCAGCACTGGCGCCTACACCTGCTGCACGAACCATGCACAGCCCTTTCCACAGCCTGTATTTCAGACCCACATATTGCAGCCGACTGAAACCCAGCAGCAAATCGGCAAGCCCATATCGAACCAAAACGCCGCATTGCCGTGGCGAGCACACACGTGCGGATCGACTCCCGGCCAATCTTGACACGAATGGAAAGCAGTTTCCCCGCCTGCTCGTCAAGACCAGCTTGATCCCGCCGCCGAGCTGAGGGCCCGTTAAAGCTGCCACGAAACATGTTCAGTGCCAATCTTGCATACTGCATTTCCCAAGTGCTTCAGTGTTACAAGTATGCAATGGCGATTTGATTTTCCTCGTGCTGCCCAAACAGCCTCTAAAGCTCCAAAACTCGCCTGCATGCGACGTGCATGCAAAGGCGTGCTCCTACCGGCACGGTTGTCAAAACTGCAAAAGACTTGGCCAAGGCTCCACACCGTGGCCTAAGGTGGGCAGTGTGCCCTTCAGCATAAGCCGCCGTTCCCGATGCACCTTCCTGAGGCGCTGCCACATGGACTGTACCTGATGCCCCCTGCAAGAACAAGAATTCATCGCACTCCTCAGGCTGGAAAGTGGCTGAGATGGCCCCACTTGAACGCCGGACCGAATCTGAAGTGCCAGCATCCTGCTCCGACTCACTGGATGAAGATAAAGCGGCCTCCAACGTTGGAGCTTGCATAGCACTGCTGCCTGCTGCCTGGGACTCTGCCCTATCGCCCTGCACAGCCTCATGAGAGACCTCAGGTGGAAACACATCCAAAAGCGGGAATCTAGGGTGCACAGGCGATGGTTCGCTAGGGACATTCACATGAACAAAAGGTCGTTGGGGGGTAGGATGTTGTCCCCCACGCCCCAGAGGCGTACTCGGCATCCACCCCGAGCGAAGCGATTGCACAAGGGCTCGTTGAGCTTCTAGTGCCGGCCAGATATCGTCCCTTGAATAAAGTCGGGCACTCCGGCCCGAAGGTTGGTGGTGTCCTTGCGCTTCACAGCGCGAGGTTCTGAAGCCTCTCTGTGCCATCACAGCAAGTAAACATGCTTTCATGCTGTGCACAGTGAAGTCACGCGCTTCCTCAGCACTCAAACCGAGAGAAATCAAGGTGCAGCGGAGCGCCGACAGAACTTCCCCGTATGACATGGGAGCAAACTCAGAGTCGGTGCTTCTGAAGAACAGACAGTCTGGTGTCACATCTCCAAATCGACTGACCACTGCATCCGATTCCTCACCCAAAAAAGAGAGGTACTTGGCCACCCAAGTGCGCGTGAATTCGCGCTTGAAACATAAATGCCCTGTGTTATCAGACCAAAAGGGACCCCTCTACGACTAACCTTAGTGCGGAAGTTCACTCCACGCAAGCACCAGGAGCCTGACTGAAGCGAAGTCCATTTGGTGTGCTGAGCATCGCTGAGACGAAGACTGCTCCAGCAACAGACCAATACCGCGCCTATGAACAAGCGATGCTGCACGGAGCCCTCAGCTAAAAGCAAGCTCCTTTCAAGAAGTCCCAGGACAAACATGGGAAGCGGAAGCGCTTCCTTGCGGTCTGCCTCGATTTTCCCGGAGATGTTCAACATGATGCCTGAATACAAGTCCGGAAGGCGGAGAGCGAGTGCCTTGCGTGCCCAGCGAATTGCCTTAAGACTGTTGCCTACTTGGCTGCCCCCTTTATGCATGACCAGCAAAGCGTCAGCAACATCCACTTGCCGGACCTTATCCGACACCGGCACCCCCAAGCACTCCAAAGCTTCAGGAAATGCCTGACAGCACTGAGGTAACGCACAAGAGTCGTGTCCGCCACACTGCTAAGGATGCGGTGCTCAAGCACGTCGCCGTGAAAGGAACCTGACAAGTCGGCAAGGCAATCTGAGATTGGCAGCAGCCGGGGCTTGAGCATTTCCCAGATGATCTTGCCCTGCTCAAACTGCTTTGCATGACCCTCATTGATCGAGCTGAAACCCCGAGCCGGTGCATCATGCGACTGAGCCGGAAATCGAACCCCCAAACCAAAATCTACACTAGCCTTAGCACCACCCCTGGGGGCCGGAGTCCGCTCCCCGTTCAAGACGGCAGAAGGTGCATTGATCGCCACTGTATTGGACATCTCCAGGGGCCGAGGCCTGTGATAATCAGCTGCCCTGAGGGGAACAGGGTTTGGTAAAGGACTACAATCCCAGCCTACACGACTAAACCTCGGGCGGGGAACCGGATTATGCAGCGGTGCTGCTGCGACCCTGGGCGCGAAAGGCCTACGACTGGGCTCGCTGAGCCGGCACTGACGTGGGTGGGCGTGGCACCCCTTGCAAAGGAAGCACTGGGCCGGGCAGACTTATGCGAATGCCTGCTGTTCCTATACCGCTTCACAATCACTGGCTCATGATTCTCGACTAACTCAAATGAGCCCACAGACGACTTTGCAGGAGAGTCCCCACTTTCAAGCAACCCTTGCAAATGACGCGCGAATGCTGAACCCGTGTGCTGGTTTCCCGCCGAGGCGGGAGCTGATTCAAGCGCTTCTGTAGAACCACTAACCCCCAAAGTGCAGGCACCACTAAGTTCCGGCACGCTCGCAGTTAAGGGAGGACCTGCATCAGCGCCAGGCAGCGAGGAAACAAACTCTGCATCCACTGAATCACACTCGGGCTCGTGGGAAGGCTTAGGGCTTGAGGCGGCGATGGGCAAGGCCATCCGTGCAAGAAGGCGTCTTTAAGCAACTCTCGTCTAGCACCTGTATGCATGTACCAAGAGGCCACGAGTAATGCGCGGCGATCTGAAGCTTGCGAGAAGCCCCACACACGCGGGATGACCCTCGGATAAGCTGCCACGAGATCCTCCAG